TCCTCTCCTCAAAACAGTACCCGTTGCCTTCGTTCCTCCGGGTCTGGGCTCCTCCTCGTCCTCCTCTCCACCCTCGGCGGCCGTGCCTTCAGCCACTGTGCCCCGAGGCTCTGGAACTGCCTTCCTCACTCCCTTCGTCTCACTCCCTCCCTTCCCATTTTCAGGTCTCGGCTGAAGACCTTTCTTTTCGATGGCGCCTTTGGTTACCTTCCCCCCTCCCCCGGTCCCTCCCCCTCCACTGGCTCCTCCCCCTGGCTCGGTTGGCTCGGTTCTGGGATCTGTTACTGAGACGCCATCCGGTGTGGAGGGCACTGTATAAATCCAAGTTGTTGTTGGGGAACAATCGGTGAGAACACCAGGAGAAACTCCCTTCTTTTGAATAGTGCAATGGGGTCTTTAATGTGCACTGAACAGGCAGGTGAGACATTGACTTAACATCTCATCCACAGGACAACAGCACAGTACAGCATACCCCTTCGCGCTGCATTGAAGTAGCAGCTTAGACTTGGTGAGCTCAAGTCCCATCGTGGGGCACTGATCGCACCCCTTTAAAAACAGCCGTCATTACCCCATCATTAAAACAAAAGAAAATCTCTTAACCTATTGCTCTTCTCAAACTACCGTTCCATCTCCAACCTTCCCTTTATTTCCAAGGCTCTGGAACGAGTCGTGTTTTCCAGCGTTACTCTTTCCTCTCCTGCCAATCCCTGCATGAATCGCTCTAATCTGGATTTCCATGCTACCCACAGTCAAAGTTACATTCTGTCCATTTGTGATCAGGATCTTCTTGTCCTTCTCGATCTCTCCGCCACATTCAACACTGTTGACCACCCTATTCTTCTCTCAGCTATTCATGGTTCTGTCTTTGCCTGATTTCATTCTTAACTTTCCTATCGTCTCCACTTTGTATCCACCAATGGCTTCTCCTCTAGCACTCGCACCTTCATGTGTAGTGTTCCCCAGGGAACGTTTTTGGTCCTAACCTCTATAATATATACATCCTCTCGTCCGTTAACACGGGGTTAACTTCCACATTTGTGAGGATGACACTCAACCCTATCTCTCTGCCTCTACCCTCGACTCCACGACCACTGCTGTCCTGCCCAATTGCCTGTCAGTCATCAATAATAATAATCCTTGCATTTGATATAGCGCTTTTCACGTCGGGAGGACGTCCCAAAGCGCTTCACAGAACACACTGTAAAGTGAATTGACTGTATATTTGTGGGCGAACGCGGCAGCCAATTGCGCACAGCAATGTCCCACAAACAGTCGTGGATAGAAAATGACCAATTTATTATTGTTTTTGGTTTTGGAGGGATTATTATTAGGCTCTGTGTGGAGTAAGGAAACTTGCCCAAGGTTTCGCCCTCTGCCTGGAATTGAACTCAGGTCTCTCGCTTGCAAAGCGAGTGCTCTAACCACTGAGCTACAGGGCTCAAGTCCTGGATGAGAGCCAATCTTTTCCAGTTGAATGTTGACAAGCCTGAGGCCCTCCTGCTTGGCTCCCATCAGCACCTCCTCACATCAGGTGCTAACATGAAAAGTGATTGAACACCTGACTGAACCAGTGCAGAACCTTGGTGTTTCAACATGTCATGACATCCTACATTGGTGCTCTGCCTTCTCCCACATTCTAATCATTGTCCACGTCCACCACTACCTGTCCCTTTAGGCTGCCGAGATTCTCATCCATGCTTCATTGCATCCAGGCTTGACTATACTATTCTCCCTGGTCACTAACCAACCTGCCAACTCTACCCTCCACAAACTGCACATCATTCAGAACTCTGCAGCTTGTGTGAGCTGATCACCCAGATCCTCACCCGGGATCACTGGCTTCCCATCCCCCAGAGGATTGAGATCCTCTTCCTCACCTTTAAAGCCCTCCACATTATTATTCCTCCCTACCTCCGTGAAACTTTACTAATCTGCCCATCCCTCTGCTGGGCACGCACTGGCACCATGTCCTCCACCTTGCCCGCTCCATCATCGGAGGTCAGACCTTTAACATGTCCCCTCCCTTGCCTCTAAAGTCCATCTCAAGATCTTCCTCTTCAAACGTGCCTTCAGTCATCTCCCCCCCACCCAGCCCTCTTGCCCCGCCCTGGCCCGTTGCCTCCCCCTACACTCTTGTCCACCCCCACTCCGGCCCTCTTGCCCCCCCACCCCCACTCCGGCCCTCTTGCCTCCCCACACCCCACCTCATGTCCCTCTTGCCCCACCCACCCATTTCCTGTTTGGTACGGCAGAGGCGGTGGCGGCAGGTCTGCCGTACGGTGAGGTCACTTCCTGTTCTGGACGGAGCGGCAGACAGGCGGTGCGGCCCCCGGGCGGTGCGGTGCGGCCCCCGGGCGGTGCGGGCGGGCGGTGCGGGCAGGTGTGTGTCAGGCCGCCCCCGGGGTCAGGTTCATCTTCTCATCGCCTCATGGGGGGGAGGCGGGGAAGCCGCGGGTCGGGCCTGGGTGTGAGCTGACAGTGGGGGCCGCGGCTCGGCTCAGCCACAGGCCCCGCTGCCGGGTTCAGGGGGTCAACAACTTACCTCACTCCGGGTAGCGTCCCAGAGCGCTGGGCAGTGGCGGAGCAGGACACTGGGGGGGCAGAGAGTGGGGGGGCGGGGGGGGGGGGCAGAGAGTGGGGGGGGGTGGGGGGGGGGGGCAGAGAAACCGTAGGCACTGGTCGAAGAGGATGATCTTAAGGCGTGACCTGAAAATGGAGAAGAATGGGGGCAACGCGGGGAGGGGGGGAGTGGGGGAGTGGGGGAGGGGGAGGGGGGGAGGGGGAGTGGGGGAGGAATAGAGGAAGTGTGTTCCAGGGTTTCGGGGCGCAGTGGCTGAAAGCGCGGCCGGCAACAGTTGGGACAAGTCAAGCGCGGGGGGGGGGGGGGGTCATCCTTGGGTTGGGGAGTGAGCAGCTTTGTGCGTGTCCCCCCCCCCCCCCCCCCATGGTGTCCTTTTCTTACAGTTTCAGAAGCACTGACCCTAAATTGGCTGCTCTGATACCTGTTATGGCAACTTATTGTATTGGACTACTAGTGTTTGGTTGACTTTGGGCTACAAATGGTATTTTTATTTCTGCCCCCCCCCCCCCATGGTCGGAGAGATGCTGTTCTTTGGATGAGATGTTACACCGACCTCCCCTTCCCCCCGTCAGTGTCTTAAGATCTCCTGCGATGCTGTTGGAAAAGAGAAGGGGGTTTCTCCTGGTGTTCCCTGGCTGACAATCCCCCTCCCCCAGAAAGTCCGTTGCTCACACTATGGGCTGTTTGATTGCGGGGATGTTGATGTGTGTAAATTGGCCGCTTCGTTTGCCCACAAAAAAGCACAGTCGCTCCATTTAGGGAAATCCTGCAAATCCACGTTGGGGCGTGAAAGGGGCTGTGTCAAATGTTATTATTACTTCCTCCACCTTCGCCCACTCCATGCTGACACACCCTCCCCAACACAACTCTTCTTCGCTCCCCCCCACCCCCAATACACCTTTGTTCACTACTCAGACAGATGCACACATAAATCCTCCCCTTTCTCCCCCACCCCCCATCTTGCACACGTACAGTGTAGCACAGTTCTGAGGTCCTGTCTACCTGTTCAGGTGCATATTAAAATCCTGCAGCGCTATTTGATTTAACACAACAATCCCAAAGTGCATTCACACAGCACCTTTCACACCAGCAGGATGTCTCCAGGCGCTGGACAGTCAGGGATTTGGACCCGAGCTTCGGGTTGGGCAACGATCCTCCAGTTAAGTTTGTTGTTCACTTAATTGTTGAACAAATGACTGTCTACATATGTGTCACTACACTGGACTATGCTTCCTGTGAAGACCTTTGAGACATTTGTGGAGTCCTGTAGCTCAGTGGTTAGAGCACTCGCTTTGTGATACCTGAGTTCAATTCCAGGCAGAGGGCGAAACCTCGGGCAAGTTTCCTTACTCCACACAGAGCCTAATAATAATCCCTCCAAAACCAAAACAATAATAAATTGGTCATTTTCAATCTACGACTGTTTGTTGGACATTGCTGTGCGCAATTGGCTGCCGCGTTCGCCCACAAATATACAGTCAATTCACTTTACAGTGAAGCGCTTTGGGATATCCTCCCGACTTGAAAAGCGCTATATCAATATTATTTCAAAGTGAAAGGAGCTATAGAAATGCAAGTTTGAAAATGTTGCCATCAGTATGTTGTGCCTCAAGTTGCACACTTCCTGTTTATGGGCCTTTGTTATCCTCAGATCTATGCTGTCTGCACTAGTTGACACTTTGAATACTTGGCCAGGTGTTAACAACAATAATCTTCTGTGACGTTCAGAGTGAGCTAATTAATTTTATGAAAATTTATAAATATCCAGAACAGAATGACGACATCATTTGTGTGATTCCTGTCGCTCTCTTTATTAACACCACTTTCTAGCTTTCTCCCCATGGTTTAAGTCACATGATTTATTGGAACGTATAGTGACTATATTTTCCACACAGCAATGTCATACATACAGCCATAAAGTGAATGATCAATTTTATTGTGAGGGATTGTTGGTTAGGACACTGCCATGAGTTCTTTAATGTCAACCTGAAGTCAGTTGGGATATATTTAATGTGTCACCTGAAGGTCGGCACCTCCAATAATGGAGCAGTAACCCCCCCAACCCAGCATTGGAGTGTCAGCCAGGACTGTATGAGTTCAAAATCCTGATGTGGGGTTTGAGCACCTCTGACTCGGAGGCGAAAGTGCTACCAACTGAACCAAACAAATGTGCAGGAAGTGATGTTATGTCTCTGCTGACCTGGAGGTAGACCTCAGATAGTGGGGGAACTTCTGGCTTTGGCTCGTCACCATGCTTCCACAGGACACCAGTATCATACGTGAAGCTGGGCTGAGGGAGGTCAAAATAATAATAATCCTTGCATTTGAAATAGCGCCTCCTCACGTCTTCGAGACGTCTTCGAGACGTCTCACAGAGCTTTACAGTGTATACTGTACAGTGGATCGACTGTTTTGTGGGCGAAATGTATAGCAAATGAAAGGATTATTAATATTGCATTCGCTTTCTCCATGGGCGAGGAGAGAAAATTAAGTCTTTGTGTGAGCGGTTGGATGAGGTGGAAGATAAATGAGTGCAGATTCAAGCATTGGTTTAATCCATGTGTTTGCTTTTTGTTGGCAGTGATCCAGGACCATGGCAACGTTGCAGAGCGAGTGGACCCAAACGTTGGCTGCATTCTATGCAAATCCCACACAGTTCCTGACCAGCACCACTACTGAGATCTTTGTCTCTGAGCTTGTGAAGGCCCTGGCCGACGAGAAATTCAGCGAAAATGTCAAGGTGACTTATTAAACCCTTTTCCCCTTCCTCCCAAAATATCCTCTGGTGAAGGAAATTGTCATTGCGCAGAAAACTGTATGTTTCGTCAGGAGTTCTGTATATTCCTGGGGCAGGCGGGGATTGTTTTATCTAGAGGGCGAATCTTTAGGCAGGTTTCCTTACTCCACACTCCTCTGTTCACCTGGCGGTAAGTAGGAACCTGGTTCTGTGTGCTGCTGTGTGCAATTGGCTGCAGCGTTTCCCCCAGAAAATATACAGTCAATTCACTTTACAGTATATTCTGTGAAGCGCTTTGAGACATCTCGAAGACGGGATAAGGTAAATACAAGGATTATTATTATGCATGAGGGCTTTCAGGCACCTCCATTGACCATTATGTTTAAATTTCAGGTGCAAGCTCTTGGAATAGTCCAGGAGTTTCCTTCGCTGCTCTTCACTGGCCCTCACTCGGCATTTCGGGCGACACTGGCACTGATGGACATCTTTCGCCGGCTGCCCTTCTCCCTGAAGTGTGTATCTCTGAAGTGCCACCTTCTGCTCTCGCTCACCACTGTGGTGATCACCGCCGAGCCCCCGATTGTGGATGGGGCGATACCTAGGGACCTCATGGCGCGGCTGATTGATCTGGCGTCCGACAGCAATGACCGGAAACGGGGCGGGGCGTTTAGACCCCTCCGTGCTGCAGCCTGCGATTGCCTCCGAGAGCTGGAAACCTGTCGTCCGGGGCTGCTGGCCAGCAAGCTGGAGCTTCTGAGCTCCCTCCAGAGGCAGGAGATGACCCCGCTACACCAGGCCTATACCGTCCTGTATAGCCGGGCGCTGAAGAACGCACTGCGGGTACGGTGCCGGGCAGGCTGTGCCGTGCCAGACGGAGGCATCCGGCAGCTCCTGCACAGGAACGAGGAGCTAGAGTGGGAGGCGAGCGGAGAGGAGCAGGATTTGCCGGCATTGCCGATCGGCACCCGATTCTTCCTAAATCTGTCCCCGGCAGACACCAAGGATCTGAAGTCGACAGTGTCGCTGCTACTAGAGGAATCGTACCTGCTCACTCCAGTCTCTCAGGCCGCCCTGCTCCAGGAGTTGGCCCAGATAGTGCTCCTGGTGCGTTCTCTGTCCCCGGCTATTTTCAAGTCCCAGCTGCTGCGCCTGTTTGGCACTATGGACGCCTCGCTTGTCCACACCATGCTCCACCTGAAGGCCACCTTCACCGACAGTCTCTTCACAGTGGAGGACGAGAGCTTCCTCCTGAAGCGCCTGGTGGGCATGGCCCAGCACCCGCTGCTCAGCACCCCACTCAAGCTCTTCCACACACACTGCATCCTCCACTTCCCTGAGAACCGTCCCATCGGCTGGAATGCGGACGAAAGCCTCCCAGTGTTGCTGACCCCAAACATGGCAGCATTCCTTTTCCCTACACTCTTCAACGACAGTAATACCATGCTGTCTCGCCTTAGCTTGGTCAGCCTGGCCTACTTGGAGAGCACTGATGAAGAACGAGGCCCTGCCGAGGTCTTTGATTACCTGGTGTCTCTGTACAAACTCGTCAACACCAACGGCAACCGGGAGAGGCTGGTGACGTTTTTCCGGGCGGTGTATATATTCTTCAGTTATTTTCACGCCAACACACAATACATGTCTGAGCTGAGCAGCCACCTGGTTAGGCTGTACCAGGGACACTGCACTGTGGCTCCACACCTTATTAACCTGATAAACAGCACCCAGGAACTCCAGGAAGAATCAAAATGGCCTGTAGCATTGGCGGAGGCCTTGCAAAAGGTGATCGTGGAGCTTCCAATGCAGCACTTGGCACCTCAGAACCTCACGTGGCACCTGCAGGTCCTTGCCCGGGTTGCCCAGGAAAGCTCGATCTCACAGGGGAGGACGGTGGAGTGCCTGCTGGGCCTGGCTCAGGGCTCCGATTTGTGTCAAACAGGGGACTGGCGGGTGGGTAACTCGGTCCTGTCGGTGTGCAGGAGCATCCTACAGCACCAGAACCTGGAGACCATCTTCAGCGAGCTGGCTGATCTCCTGCAGCACCTCTTCCTCCACTTCCAGGACGTAGACATTCAGGACCACGCTCACTTCTACTACACCATGCTGACCAGCCTTTCCGGAGAGAAGCTGTCGGGAATTGTGGCCAGGGGAGTGGGGAACGGCACACGGACAAAGGCCCGCTCCCTCTCCTCCATCATGCCGGAGAATACAGACCTCTCCTCCCTCTCCGTCCTCTCAGTCAAACACCCGACATTGCAATTGGTCCCAATCGTTGATGAGCATCGTCCAAATGCCGAGCTGAGCGGAAACGTCAGCAAACAGGATGCTGAGGAGCAATACCTGGAGAAGTACCTGGATCAGTTCAATCAGCCTGGGTTCGCTTCCACCGTTGTCATGAAGTATTACCTGACTTTTGCCCCGAACGTCGATTCCCAGTATCACAAAGTCTTCAGTGTACTTTTACGTTTTGACCTGAGGAGCTCTCATTACGAGCCAATTCCCGATCTCCATGTTCCATGTCTTTTCTTCGATAGAAAACCTCACACTTTCTCCTTGGCTCTCAAATCAAACTGTCCTTACCCGACCGTTCTACACACAACTGCCATATTTACCACCGAGGATGGACACACTTGTTGCAGCCAACTTGAACCGGTCCAAATTGGCTTCTCCAGCTTGTTCCTGCACCTTCCTATCCCAGCCCATTGGCCAGCTAATGCCAAAGCCAACCTCTTTGATCATCTCTGGGAATCATTGGCTGGGGAGGAGTCAAGCCAGGCTGCCCTCAGCCTCTTTTGCTTCAAGACCAACCAGAGCCCTCTGAGTGAGCTGGTGGAGCTGCATTTTCACACGCACTTGGTCTCAAAGCACACCGACCCAGAGCGGTACAAAATCCTCCTCTTCCTGCCCCCCCGCTACCACGTTCTGTACAGTGTGGGACTCACGGGGGAGATGGCAAAGGTGGACATCCTCACCGACAACTGGAAGCTTCTGCCCTTGATTAATGCTTATCTGTTGACCATAACATCTGAAAATTAGGGTTCCTCAAAACTCTGCCACTGTCAGCACACCTTGGTGCTACCTTCTACCTCAGGGTATCAACCAGCTGTCAGTTAGGTATTAAGTCATCTCAATCAAGCCCTCACTTCTGGGTCGTAAGAAGGTTATGAGTTTGAAGCCCCTGATTTAGGACTTTGAGCTGTGTCGACCATTGTCTTTTGAATGAGGAGTTAAAATCCTCATCTGCTTGTTCTTCAGGTGGAATTTAGAGAAGCCATGACACTGTTTGAAAAGAAAAAGGAGTTTCTCCCAATGTGGCCAACAATTGTCCAGATGAATTGGTCATTGTCCTCCCGGCTTTGTGTAGGACCTTGATTGTGCTTAATGGCTGCTGTGTTTGCCTACAGAAACCGTACATTTAACAGTAATTACTGCGAAGTTCTTTGAAATACTTTGAGTGATGAACTCAATAAAAATGTAAGTTATTTGTTTCTGAATAAACTTGCTATTCAAAATAAACAACAAAGTCTTGTCTCAAGATCCATTACCTGTATGGACTGTGTGTAGACCATGCGCTGAGTAAAATATATAGCTGATGCATTAGCCTTGAAAAATCACTACGCTTGACAGACATCATCCTAAAGTGCTTTCCTACCATTGTGATGTAATTGGACTGAATAAAAATGAAATGTTTTTAAAAAAAACTTTGAAGAGAAATCCACAAAGAAGCACAGATTAAAACTGGTAAAACTAAACAGGCTTAAAAAAAAATCTTCCAGCTCTGGCCTGCTCCACGTCCCCCCCGACCCACCCAACCCATGCAAAAATACCTGGACAAGATCCTCCTCTTTGACCATGCCATCCCCTTCCCCTCCCTTCCCCCCAACCCAGGTCTGAAATGCTGTACTCTGACCAGGGCCTTGGGACATCCTCCCGACGTGAAAGGCGTGAAAGAGAGGAAAACAACAACAATTTGTATTTAAATAGCACTTGTGTGGGACGGAGGAAGAAAAACAACTGGTGTTGACCAGCTATGGATTGGGAGGATATAGCAGTTGAGCCTGACCATTTACTCGGCAACAGGGTCTCTGGATAGTGATCGAGAGCAAGAACCCTGGCTCATTCGCACTCCCTAACCCGAACACCCATAGCTGACCAGTTTACAGGTGTCTGACACATGCAGAGACCCATCACCGTACTCTACAAACCAAACGTGAGAATTCCGTGCATCCCACCTACACATGGAAATCCCAGAGATACAACAACAAGATTCCATTTATAAAGCGCCTTTCACGTCAGAAGGACGTCCCAATAGATTGTTGGAATGGAATGAACACTCCCTGGAGGGATGCATCCTGCTTACCTAATTCCAGAAAGCAGATTGGCAAGAGGTGAGGCTTGGAGACCCCAAAGTGTGCGTTGGGGTACCTGCGGGAGTTTAACCAGCTAAACCCATACAGCTTGCCATTGAGATCACTGTCTGGCAAGCTTTCCTGCTGCTTGCCCCACGAGGACCATCTTACCCATTAGGCTCACTGGGTTAATAGAAACTGAGTGTGATGATTTCCTGCCCCTACTGACTAGTCTACCCTTCTAAGATCTGCTGATGAGCCAGGCTGGCTGTGCTGACAGGCATTCCTGAGTGTCTTTGCATTGTACAATGCAGCAGGATATTTGAGTTATTAGACCACCAGTGACCCGCACATGACCCCATTATCTCCCACCCTAACCAGGCTCCACTGGCTGTGGATGAATTTCAAGATCTTCGAATCCCTTCACAATCTTACCCCTCCTTATCCTTTCATTCTCCTTTGCCCATCCATTTCCTTCTTTTAACCAGTTCATTCCTGCCTCCTCTCATCAATCGATCAATGAATGGGGTTTTCAGCCGATCTCTGAAACCCTCCCCAAAACCCCTTCCTCTTTGCTAGCTTTTCTCTCACCTTAAAAAAAATCTAATTCTCCCTGAATTTGGCCAACCTTCTCAAACTCCCCCTGGTGATTTCCCATAGTCCCAGTGAAGCAGATTCCTTGTGAAATGTATAAGCACAAGTTGTTTTAAACACTCCAATTTATTACATATGTGCCGTAACCAGGTAGCATGACAGATCCATCCGATACAGTTATGTAAAGAATGTGCAGAACTCAATGCCTGAGCTCACAGATGCCAGATATCGGAACATGGCTAAAAGACTTAAGATATCTACCAAAAGCAGAGGAAAGGTTAGAAGAAATTTTTTCACTCAGCGAGTTGTTGGAATTTGGAATGATCCGCCTGAAAGGGCAGTGAAGTCCGATTCGATAACAGCTTTTAAGAGAGAACTGGACAGGTATCGGGGAAGACGGGTTTGTGGGGTTATGGGGAGAAAGCTGGTGATTGGGTTTAGTGAAAGTGATGCTCTGTCAAAGAGCCGCACAGACTCGATGGGCCAAATGGCCTCCTTCTGTGAAAGAGAAAAAAAAAGACATTTCAATCCATTCAGCTGGCCTGGAATACATCTTAAATTTCTGCCCGACAGCCTGTTTGTAAGGCGGGGGGCGGGGGGGGGGGCGGGATAAAGCAAGGTAGTTCTTTGGGGTTTGTTAAAAGTTAAAAGCAGAACCAGCATTTGGCAGAAGGTAGGGGGGGGATAAACCCTTTTCAAGAACCTGTTTGTGTAACATGGGCCCCAAATCAAATCCCTGGATGTCTTTACCAGGGGGTGATGAAGAACAAATGAGGTTTTGGTTCAGCTATCTCACTGGGTCAGCCCCTGGAAGTTGGGCTCTCCGCACTGTGGCAAGGCCTGTTGCTGGGTCAGAAACTTGTCAATGATGCTGATCTCTGAGTTCCTCTTCTCAATCTCCTTGTACGGCGTCCACGACATGTCGTGCTGAAGCTTGTATGTGCCCAGCACCTCATGAGGGCAACTGGACCCCCACTCCTAGGATGAAGAGGGTAGAAGACAAAGATTAAGCTTTCATTTTTAATGTAAGTTCTCTTTAGAATTTCCCATTTGTCCAGCAAGGGCCACCCTACATTAGCCCTTGCTGGACAAAGAGTGGAGTCCTGCAGTGTAGTGGTTAGAGCACTCGCCTCGCAAGCGAGAGGACCTGTGTTCGATTCCTGGGCAGAGCAAAACATTGCGCAAGTTTCCTTACTGCAAGCGGCACTGTTTACCTAGCAGTAAGTTGGAGCTCAGGCATGAGTTGATTGGAGGATCACTTTTCTGGGGGTAATAATCTCTTCATAAATACATAAATAAATAATAATTTGGTCACTCAACCCACGACTGTTTATGGGACACTGCTGTGTGCAATTGGCTGTTACATTTTGCCCATAAAATATCCAGTGAATTCACTTTACAGTGAATCCTGTGAAGTGCTTTGAACGTCTCGAAGACTTGATAAGGAGATATATCAAATGCAAGGATTATTATTATATTATGCTTGAAGTGCTATGGGGGTAGAGCGGAGCAGTGGGATCGAATGGACAACTTATTCTGAGAGGCAGTCCAGACTCGATGGGCCAAATGCCCTCTTTCTGCGCTGTAACTTTCTATGAATCTATGATTTTGCAATCTGCAGCCCCTGAAGATTTTGCTCCCGGCGATCCTAGCCCAACTCACCTTTGGAGAAAGAATCGAGAAGTATTTCTGGCCCGTTTCCCGCCTGTAGAGGTAATAGATATTCCCAGGCTTCTTCACAACATTACACGCAATGTGATGCAACTCTGCATCCCTCTTCGCTTCCTCAAGAACCTTGCATGGAAAACCAGGAACATCCATAAGGAAGAAAAAAAAGCAATCAGTTGCTAATGTTGACATGGTGGCATGGTTAATCTCCACCTCACAGAAACTATTACGTTTTTTTTGCCTGGCACATACATGCCTGATGCCCCTTGTGTTGGGCAAACCTTCCCACAGCCCAGCACCGCACATGCACTGGAATGCATTGATTTCAAAAATTTATTAATAATAATAATCCTTGCATTTGATACAACGCTTCATCACTTCTTCGAGACATCTCAAAGCGCTTCACAGAATATACTGTAAAGTGAATTTATTGTATACTTTGTGGGTGAAACGCGGCAGCCAATTGCGCACGGCAGGATCCCACAAACGGTCATGAATTGAGTGACCAATTTATTATTATTATTATTTTTTAAGGAATTATTACCCCTGGTAAAGCGATCGACTAAACAACCGGGTTCCTATTTACTGCTGGATAAACAGAGGCATTGGAGTAACGAAACTTGCCCAACATTTTGCCCTGCCAGGAATCAAACCCAGGTCCTCTCGCTTGCGAGGCATGTGCTCTACCACTGAGCTACAGGACTCCATACCTTGTGAGCTTGTTCTTGGAGGTAGCGGATTTGCTCCCCGATCACCGTCAGTCTGTTGCAGGCGTTGGCTTGGACAAACTGGTCAGCCTGGGGGGAAAGCCATCAGAGAACCTTTGAGCATTGAAACAGCCCTCATTCCTTCCAGTTCCGTGCTGGTGTTTTTCTCCACATGAGATATGTGGTCTAATCCCGCCTGCTCCTCTCTCTCCTCCGCACACTCTCCCCCCTTCAATATTCCTCCTCCAAGCATCTATCTAATTTCTTTTTAAAAGTTTTTCCGAAATTTGCCTGAATATCGGTTTGTGGCGGAAAATCCCACATATTAGTGCAAAACTACTATAGTAATCCTTACATTTGTACAGTCTATTCAATTCAAATGTCTCACAGTATTTTACTCTATTTACCACTAAGTGTAGTGACTGTGTAGTTGTAGTGAGCGCAGCAGTCAGTTTGCACACAGTAATGTCCCACAAATTTCCAGTTGGTGAATGACTAGTTGTCGGCCAGGACACAAGAGGAAACTCCCTATTTGTTTCAGACACTGCCACAGGATCAGTAATGTCACCTGAAAGGCAGCGGGGGCCACGCTTTAACATCTCATTAAAAGGATTTCCGTTTTTACAGTGTCAAACGTAAGAGGAAGAGCTTTAAAAACTCAGTCAAGCTTTCACACAAGCTGTCGGTCCTGACTGGTTTGCACAGCTCAGCTATTTAATAATAATAATAATAATAATAATCCTTGCATTTGATATAGCGCTTTTCACGTCAGGAGGACGTCCCAAAGCGCTTCACAGAACACACTGTAAATTGAATTGACTGTATATTTGTGGGCGAACGCGGCAGCCAATTGCTCAGTAAACCCTCTGAGCTCTGTCAGGGGCCAGGTTGAAGGGTCTTTACCGTGTCCAATGCCGTCTATTTAGAAGATTAATAACATGACCGGCTGTTTCACTTCTACATTGTTTTGTGGTTTCATTTCCGCAGCCATTGCTCAGACACCCTGCCCCTCTCGATATTAATCAGATACATCCAGGCTGAAACATGGGCAGGAAGCCATGAGTGAGAGATTCACAGACCTCAACGCCCAGTAAAAGCTGAGGAGTGGGGGAAAGGGGGAAACCAGGGCTTTGCACCGTGGGCTGTGAGCTCCAGTCTCTGATGTGGAGATCGCGGTCTTACTCAACATTGGGAGAGATGGAAGTTTCAGAGCTGATGGGTGAAGTTTCCCTGCTGTCCCCCACCGCATCACCCTCCCACTTTCTCCTCTCGTCCTCTCCCTCCCAACCCCCTACTCTCGGGATTGGGCAACCCCCCCACCCACCCCACCCACACTTGCCTTTTGTATTTGCTCTGCGAGCTTGACCAGGTCCTGGGGGTCCCCAATGCGGTTTGTGTGGTAGGAGCTGAGCAGCTGCAGGTCAGCGGGACTCTCATTGCTCTCCACCAGCACCACTGTAACACAGCAATCACACCCTCAGTCAGCGTTCAGTGTAGTATAATTTAGTGTTCCCCCCCTTCCCGAAGCCCCGTTGGGGGGGGGGGGGGAACACTAAATTATACTACATTCCAGCAACAGACTTGGGCTCCATTCCCAGAGCTGAGGAATCCACAATCCAACTCTCTTCATAAAGCACCTGAATCAGATCACATTAATAATAATAATAATAATAATAATCCTTGTGTTTGATGCAGCGCTTTGTTGAGACGTCTCAAAGCGCTTCACAGAATACACTGTGAAGTGAATTAACTCCGTATTTTGTAGGTGAGACCAGTGGCCGATTGGGCACTGCAGCGTCTGCTCACACAGCGCTCCATCACCACAACCCCCACAGGAACCCACCGCCAACACACAGCCACATAAACAGTGAGGACACCCGCACCCCCCAAACACCCCCCCCCAACACACCCCCCAAACACCCCCCCAAACACCCCCCGCAACACCCCCCCCACCACACCCCCCCCAAACACCCCCCCCAAACACCCCCCCGCAACACCCCCCCCAAACACACCCCCAACACCCCCCCCCAACCCCCCCCCCAACCCCCCAAACACCCCCCCCAACACCCCCCCCAACACCCCCCCCAAACACCCCCCCCAAACACTCCCCCCAACACCCCCCGCAACACCCCCCCCCAAACACACCCCCCAAACACACCCCCCAAACACACACCCCCAAACACCCCCAACACACCCCCAAACACACCCCCCAAACACACACCCCCCAAACACCCCCCCACAACACCCCCCGCAACACCCCCCCCAAACACACACCCCCCAACACACACCCCCCGCAACACCCCCCCCCAAACACCCCCCCAAACACCCCCCAAACACCCCCCCCAACACCCCCCCCCAAACACACACCCCCCAACACACACCCCCAAACACCCCCCCCCAAACCCCCCCCCAACACCCCCCCCAACACACCCCCCAAACACCCCCCCAACACCCCCCCAAACACCCCCCCCCCAACACACACCCCCAACACCCCCCCCGCAACACCCCCCCAAACACCCCCCCCCCCCAAACACCACCCCCAACACCCCCCCCAAACACACCCCCCAAACACACACCCCAAACACCCCCCCAAACCCCCCCCAACACCCCCCCCCAACACACCCCCCAAACACACACCCCCAAACACCCCCCCCCAAACCCCCCCCAACACCCCCCCAACACACCCCCCAAACACACACCCCAAACCCCCCCCAACACAACCCCCAACACACACCACCAACACACCCCCCAACACCCCCCCCCTGTACCGGTGGCGGTGACGGGTCCCGGTGTTTGGCTCATGCTCAGAGCTGACGGTGAGGCCTCACCGCCCCCCGACCTGACCTGACCCCCGGGGTGGGGGCCGCCGGGACAGAGACTGTGCAGCTGTGGTCGCCCCCTCACCCCCCACACCACTCCCCCCCCCACCCCACACACACCCCCACACACACCCACAGACACCCCCTCCTCTCCTCTCCCCCTCTCTCTCTCTCTCTGTGGTTTGTGTTACACAACTGTGACCGCGGCCCTCACTGTGTGGGGGGAGGGGGTGTCTGTGTGTGGGGGAGGGGGTGTCTGGTGTGTGTGGGGGGGAGGGGGTGTCTGTGGGGGGAGGGGGTGTCTGTGTGGGGGGGAGGGGGTGTCTGTGTGTGTGGGGGGGAGGGGGTGTCTGTGGGGGGAGGGGGTGTGGGGGGAGGGGGGTGTCTGTTGTGGGGGGAGGGGGTGTCTGTGTGGGGGGGGGAGGGGGTGTCTGTGTGGGGGGAGGGGGTGTCTGTGGGGGGAGGGGGTGTCTGTGGGGGGAGGGGGTGTCTGTGTGGGGGGGAGGGGGTGTCTGTGTGGGGGGGAGGGGGTGTCTGTGTGGGGGGAGGGGGTGTCTGTGTGGGGGAGGGGGTGTCTGTGTGGGGGGAGGGGGTGTCTGTGGGGGGAGGGGTGTCTGTGTGGGGGGGAGGGGGTGTCTGTGTGGGGGGGGAGGGGGTGTCTGTGTGGGGGGGAGGGGGTGTCTGTGTGGGGGAGGGGGTGTCTGTGTGGGGGGGAGGGGGTGTCTGTGGGGGGAGGGGGTGTCTGTGTGTGGGGGGGAGGGGTGTCTGTGTGGGGGAGGGGGTGTCTGTGTGGGGGGGGAGGGGGTGTCTGTGTGGGGGGGGGAGGGGGTGTCTGTGGGGGGAGGGGGTGTCTGTGTGTGGGGGGAGGGGGTGTCTGTGTGGGGGGAGGGGGTGTCTGTGTGTGGGGGGAGGGGGGTGTCTGTGTGGGGGAGGGGGTGTCTGTGTGTGGGGGAGGGGGTGTGTGTGGGGGGAGGGGGTGTCTGTGTGGGGGGGAGGGGTGTCTGTGTGGGGGGGGGGGGGGGGGGGGGGGGGGGGGGGGTGTCTGTGTGGGGGGGGGGGGTGTCTGTGTGGGGGGGGGTGTCTGTGTGGGGGGGGGGGGTGTCTGGGGGGGGGGGGTGTGGGGGAGGGGGTGTCTGTGTGGGGGGGGGGGGGGGGGGGGGGGGGGGGGGGTGTCTGTGTGGGGGGGAGGGGGTGTCTGTGTGGGGGGGAGGGGGTGTCTGTGTGGGGGGGAGGGGGTGTCTGTGTGGGGGGAGGGGGTGTCTGTGTGGGGGGGGGGAAGGGGGTGGTCTGTGTGGGGGA